GCGTACTCTTTCACACAATTGGCAGCCACCTGTAGTCTCTCTTCCTTGAGTTCCAGTGAGCCCTCCGTCGTCCATATGGTGATGTCATCAGCGTACATTGCATGCCGGATGCCATCTATAGCGTTCAGTTTCTCTGCCAGCTCGACTATCGCAATGTTGAACAGAATAGGTGAGATCATGGGCTCTTGCGGCGTGCCCTTGTTGGGCAGCCTGAACGTGTCTGACCGCAGGTCGCCCATCCCTATGGTCGAAGTCCTATCAGTGAGGCAGGCCTTGACGTAGCCATAGATTTTTTTCCCGCAATTCAAGTTGGTTATTGCCGATAGTATGGCGTTATGGCTGACGTGGTCAAAGGCACCTTTGAGGTCAAGAGCCAGTAATACATGTTCTCCATACTTAGAGAGGTTGCTGAGAACTTCCTGTTTGATGAGAAGTAAGACATCTTGCGTTCATAGCTTTAGATGGAACCCAAACATTGTGTGAGGCATGAGGTCGTTATCTTCCAGGTAGTTTTGCTGCCTGATAGTGATTATTCGTTCATATAGCTTCCCTAAGCACGAAGTCAGTGAAATAGTTTGTAGGTTTTCTAAGCTCGGCTTTTTGTCTGACTTTGGGATGCTGATGATCTGCGCGGGTTGCCACTCCATTAAAACGGTCTCTACTTCCCAATGCTTGTTCAAGAATTACGTGATATTTAATATATTCCGGCCCCAGGTTTTTTAATATTGCATTGCTGATCTTGTCTGCTCCGGGTGCTGTGTTCCTTACGGCCATTCTGACTGCCGCGTACACCTCTTCTTGTGTAAGAGAGTTTTTCGTTTTTGGCACCTCGATAGGGGTTCGTGCAGGCATCGATGTTCACAGGCCTGAAATATCGTTCCCTGACCTTACCTAGCAGCTCCACATCATTACCTTGGAAGTTAGGGGCGATTTTGTATAGCGTCTTGTTATTTTGTGTTTTGCACTTGGTTTGATCGATCATGTTTCTCAGCAGCGCCCAAGTATTGGCAGTCCCTAGCGTGCCCTCGAGCGAGTCACAGAATTTGTTCCAGTTTTGCTTCGAGAGCTCTTGCACGTATTGCTCTGCCTTGGCCATTAATGCAGCAATTTTTCGTTTCAATTTTCTGTTGCCTTCTGTCTCCTCTATCTCATGGTCTTGCTTCTACGAGCTTCCCATAGGCGTAGAAGGTAATTGTCAATTTCAGGAATGGTGTCCGTCCTTTCCACTGCCTTTGTTGCCCTTTGGTACGCCTCGTGGATCCCTTTACTCCATTCCGCAATCGCTTGAATCGGTTGCACTTCGCAGTCTTGTCTAAAGGCATTCCAGTTTGTTATTTTTGCCTGTCCGAGTTTTCTTCGGTGGCAACTGACATCCAAAGAATAAAGTTGTCGCTGCCAAGGTTCTCTTTAGTGTTTTCCCGATATACGTCATGGGTGTTTTTTTACAAATGTGAGGTCTGGGCACGTATCTCTGCTGACACTGTTCCCCATTCTGGTCCGCTTCGTGAAGTCCGTTACCAATTCGAGGCCTGCGTGTGCTGACACTTGAGCCAAATTCTTCCCTTTGCTTGTTTCTTTTACATATCCCCAGCTCTTGTGTTGCACATTAAAGTCTCCTAATACCACCAAGCCGTTTTTCTTGGCTAACTTGCTCGCTGCTTTTATTAGTGGCTCGAAATCAGGGTTTCTTTGCCTAGGTGGACTGTACATGTTCAGAATAAACAGGCTCCTCTTACCTCTCTTGTGCGGTATTAACTCTAACACGTGCTTGATGTCAGTGTCTAGTGCCGGGTGTTGGATTGCTGTTATCCCTCTGTCTGGCTCAAGAATGCGTCTTAACTTGTTAGGCTGTGAGAATAACCAGTCTCCTGCAGTGGTACGATATCGGGCCTGACAAGGTTCGTCTGCATGTATTGCCGAAGGGTGCTTTGCTTCTTGCGGAATCCGCGGCAGGTCCACTGCCAAATTTCTAATCTTTCTGTGTTTCCCTTAGTGTTACTGGCCATTATGCATGGTTGGACTCACTGTTGCTTCTGTATGGGAACGGAGGCCTATTGTGTGCCTTTTTCTTGATTTTCTCGGTGTGGAGTTTCTTCCTGAGAGCACTCTTCACATTGCAAAGTTGGCTTCGAAATTGCTGAAGCTGCTGTGTCAGTTGCGACTGCGTCTGTTCTTGTTGCAGCTGCAGTTGCTGTAGCTGTTGTTCCAACGGTGGTTGGGCTGTTTGTGCGCTTTTCATGGAAGTGGTCTGGTTCACCCTCGGAGCGGTCGCCGGTGAAATGTGCATGTTCTTTCCAGAGTTCCCCTTCCCTGCTGTGGTGCACATTTCACCCTGGCCGACCGCGTCCATATCTCTGTCTTTGATAACTTTAATCAAAATTATCTACCTTGCGGGTGAGTTGGTTGCATTCGGCGCGCGTAACTTCGAGCTCCCGGCTGATGCTTGTGCATTCGTTACATTTGTATATGGCTTGTGTTGTGTGTGTTCACCGGAGCTGTGGTATTGGCAGCTATTCCTGCCCAGCCTACCTTTTTGGTTTTCTTGTTTTTTTGCTTTTGTTGGTTTCGATTTCCTTCATCCTGCTGCTGCCTCGTTGTCGACATCGAACGGGATTGGCTGCGGATCACGGAGGTGTCCCCCTCAGAGCTGAACCATCGTTGCTTGTCTTTCCCATTGCTGCCGTCCTTGCGGCTACGTCGGGTATTCCTCCCGCCATCTTTTATTTGGTTGTGATTGCGTGGGCGTCTTGTCTTTTTCAGGCGGTCTTTGCACTCGCGAGCGCGAGTGAGATGCACTTCACTACATAGCATGCACTTGGGCACACAAGTATGCCCCGTTTCAGAGTTGCACAGTTGGTACTGTTGGCACACACACAGTTCTGGTGTCGGGCAAATGTCCGAACGGTGACCCAGTTTGAGGCAAATGTAGCAGACCTGCCTTGTGAGTCGGTAGAGGTGACAAGGTTCCCCACCTCCGTAGTGGTTCACGAACCTCGGTACCTCCTTCCCATCGAAAGTGATCACCACTGTCTTGAATTTTCCTAGCATTTTGGCTTGTAAGATAGTGACCCCTTGTGTGTGGTCTCGAAGGTGCGCTATGAGCTCCTCGGGTGGTGTGCCTGCGTCGATGCCGTGAACGACTCCGTCCGGGGTCGCTATGTATGCGTTCACCTCGTACGACTTGCTGTCATGGGTCAGCTTAATGATTCTTTGTGCGAGATTAGCAGCTTCCTCCTGGGGTGTGCTAGCAATGATGATGTTCGAGCCGTTTCGAAGCCTTACAAGAAGGTCTTCATCCTTGCATGCTTCGCCGTTTCCACATGCAGCGGCGATGGCTCGCGCCACTTGATGGTTGGTTAAATCCCGCACGATCAGTCCTTGCTTTGGCCTGATGATCACTTTGATGTCGTTCTTCGGAAATGGAGGAAATTTTCGACGGAAGGGCCACTTCGTTTCCTCTTTGCTCTCTAGAGCATTCCTTCCGACATTGGAAGTGACATCGTGTTGATTGTTTCGATGTTCTCTAGAAACTTCCACAGTCCCAGTCGCTGTAGTTGTGTTTCCTCGCTTCAGCTTCTTGCGATTTCGCTTGCTCAGGGCAAGCTCTCAGTTTGAGTTCAACTCATCATGCGTTCTTGGTCGATCGGTAGTCCTGCGGCCTGTATTTTCTGCATCTTCGTGCGAATCCATTTCAGAGGTGTCACTCGTGGCAGGCGAACTGACTTGACAGCCACATAGTCCAGCGGAAAGACCTACTTGTTCCATATCCATTCGTTTCCTTTGCCAAGCCTAACCACGCCTAGGCTTTGCACCCCTGTGTATTTCCTATGGTGGGATCCATAGTGCACTAGGCTTAGCTCAGTTGCCCCCGCTTCAACATTTCAAAGGCTGATAAATGCCGGAAAATAGCACGCACAGTCTCGAGGATTATATCCAAGGATGCCGGTTGTTGGTGTCTGTTCGTTCTCGCCAACCTAGTGGTGCAGTGATGGTTTTGTCCGAAATGACACGTAGCACAAGTGCAAGGCGTGTGCCAGCAGCCAGGCAACAGAAACTCGTGATATAGGTTTGTTTACATTGCCCCTGTGCTGATGTCGACGTCGTGAGGGGCTCTGCATCTCACTCAGTCACGTGGCCTGCTTTCCGAAAATGATTTTGAATATGTTCTAGGCTATATTTGCCCTTGATATCTCGTAAGATGTTTTGTATGTCTCCACATAAAGCTATCTCGCTCATTATCCCTCCTTCGAAGTTTTGTGTCAGTGTTCCTTCAAGGGCGTCAGGCGCTGACTGACATTGCCACATTTAAATGCACATATATACCCCATAAAGGAGACCGGGAGATGGCTGCCTCGATAGCTGAATTGATTGAGCATTGGATGTGTTATTCGAAGGTTGCAGGGGCAGCTCCTGTCTGTGACAGGCTATCTTTTGTCCAATTTATATGTTCTCATTTATATAATATTTATTACTAATAACGACACCTATATTTCATTGGCATCATTTTCTGTACTATCTCATTAATATTAATGAGCAACATGCAGCTCTTGTGATGATAGTTTCCGGCAGCTATTTATTTTGATTCACTGTTAGTGGAGGTGCAGCCTACCGATTGTCTCTGACAAGTAGTTGTCACTCAGTGATAAGTGCCCTGTTGCTTGTCATTTAACAGTTTTTCACGGGAAACTTTCATGAACGTAAGGTGAGTATTCTATAACGAGAGCATTTATTGGCAGCCGCCAAATGCAAGTGACAGTGTCATTGCATCAAAATACTGGTGTGCAATGGTTGTTCACTATACGTCTCTTAGTGCACTGGTGCACAGGTAGCTTTGCTGATGTTTTATTGGACAGGTTCTTGTGCTTAGATGGCCCTCTTGATTTTGTGGCAGTGATTTATTGGTTTGTTTGGTTAGAAAAGCTGGTAGGCAAAAGTAGGCATGTTGAAGAAGAAAGTGTGAAAACAGAAGCACGCAACTCTGCATGTTTTGATGTCTGCAGCGGCTGACAAACTGATCAAGATTTGGGGTGCCTATGACGGAAAGTTTGAGAAGACCATCTCGGGGCACAAACTCGTGAGTATTTTATTTTTGTTCTGTCACTTCAGTAAATTTCCAAGTGACATTTCTTTTTGCACATCATGCTGTATAACTCGAGGCGCATGTCAGAGATTATGCGATTTTTTTTCTTTAATGTAAGATTCGGGGTGTCTTTAATGATTCATTTCTCTCTTTAATATGTGATTGAAGCACTTGACCCCAGCAAGTCCTGAATATTAGTGTAGTTTCATCATTATAGAGGGTATATGTGTATATGTGTGTGAGACTTCAAGCTTACTATTTTAATAAACTAATATTGTCATGTGCTTTACTCAGTCATAAAACACCAATTGGATCTGTACACCCATTTTCATGCATATGAGTTTACTGTTGCACCAGACAAGAATGAAATGCACCAGAAAGACAACAATGAAAAATTTCTCATTACGGTTGTACTAGTCATTTAGTTTCAATTAATATGGCAGCATTAACAGATGGAGGCACTTCAACACACTCACTAATAGTTCATCAGGGAGCAGTTACTGCTGGCTGCAAGCACACAACCTGTGTTTCCTGGCTAATCACCCCTTTGGGTAAATGTAGCATCACATGCAAGCATATTTATTTGTCATCTTCTGTTGAAAGCATTGCAGTACTTCCATTCTTTATGGGCCCATGTGCTTAGATTTGGGTGCACGTTAAAGAACCCCAGCTAGTTGAAATTTCTGGAGCCCTCCACTACGGCGTCTCTCATAGTTGTATGCTAGTTTTAGGATGTTAAACTTCACATATCAATCAATCTATCAATCAATCAATCAGTATTTCCATCTTGTAACAGAATCTCGGGTTGGTTAGTCTTTTTGAGCATGGTCACATACAGTCAAATCTTGTTATGGCGAGCCTCAGTATAATGATTTTTTCAGATTAACGACATTTTCGAAAATCCCCTTTCAAATGTCCATTGATTTAGTGTAAAAATATTTCACTACTATGATTTTCAGAATACTGAATGTTTCAGAATAACATATTGAATTTTAACGCGAGAAATTCCGGTGTCGGCGTCGTTGGTTGTGAGCGAAAAATCATCATCCTATGCTTGACTGAAAAATAGAGAAAGATGAAAATAAAATAAATAAATGACGAAAAAACCCTGGAGCAGAGTGGGGATTGAAGGCAGGATTGCTTGGGTCTGAATGGGGATCAAACCTCGGTCGTTTGCATGGAAAGTGGATGCTTTACCACATGGCCGCGCTTCTTCTTGTGAAAACAATGTAAAGAAGTTCCTCTGCTCGGAAATGCAGTTAAAGTAGCTTTCATGCTTCACAAACACATGCATCCTGTATACTTGCTTCACCATGCAACATGAAATATTGCAGTAATAATGTGTGGTACAAGCGTCCATTGCCAACGGGTGTCAGAATATGACTATCATAATGGATCCGCGGTTGAAAGCCGGTACCCCAGTACAAAAGGCACACACGCTACTGCGCCTATTCTCTTAAAGCCACGTATAGTGGTTCATAGCAAATTGATTGATTTATATGTGGGGTTTAATGTCCCAAAACCACCGTATGATTATGAAAGGCGCCGTAGTCGAGGGCTCCGGAACTTTCGAGCACCTGGGCTTCTTTTAACGTGCACCCCATTCTGAGCACACGGGCCTACAGCTTTTTTTGTCTCTATCGAAAATGCAGCCGCTGCAGCCGGGATTCGGTCCTGCAACCCTTGCATAGCAAATTCGAAAAGGTTTCATGGACTAAGTGTATGAAATACGCACTAGGAACAGGATGTCACTATCGCGTTCAACTCCTAAAGGCGAAGCTTTAGGGTCTCCTAATTTTTATCCTCCTTGGATCTTCGCACGACTTCAAAATAATGACTAGCGATATTGAAAAGTTACTCGCGGCTGTAAAAATTACGCTCAGCTCCATAGCTGCCATTATCATCAGAACGCTAGCGTAGATCTGCTCACCCTATTAAAATGTGCAACAGCCCTATAATCTTCGCATGGAACTTGTCTTTCGCATCAGGCTTCGCCCTATTGTCTTTGTTTTCATCGGACAGTTGACCTGCTTTGCTGGTCTCTAGTCTTTTTGTTGGTGGTTGAACGTTCAGGATGAGCTCCGAAACCAGCACGAAAGGAATGGTACGACAGTTAGAAATGTGACCCAGAGCGACCTCTAGGATGAAGTAGCCAATGATTACTCGTGCATGCTTCACTAACGCTTGAAGACTATGCGTAGTGCGACGACGAAGCGTGTATGCGAGCTTGGTTGATGAGTGATAAGATTCGTACCATTTGCCGTGATAAAGAAATGGTGATGAAAGTGAAGATGATGCTGAACCAGCATGTGCGAACCAATGTGAAGGATCGGTATTAAATGCTGGTGCTTGTCAGTGTGTAACAAGGATGCGCACGCTTGAGAGTTTTCAGCAGTCGAGCTGCCCAGATCAGTCTCCTCTTCAAGTAAATGTGCACCGGTTCCACAATATTCCTTGTTTGTTGTTTTTTTTTGCGCTTATTAGAGCATAACATGGTCGTGAATGTATACACAACACAAGTAGGCAACTCACGTGTTTGCCTGCATGATTATTGCACATTGATTTTTAATACTTTCACTACGGCTTTTTTCAAAGTTTCAAATGATTTTAGTGGTTCCTTGAGATTTGTTGTATCAGGATTTCGTTGTATAAGCAAAATGCAAGAAATAATCAACTGTCAGCATACCCATGGCATGCCAGTAATACCAGACAGGGCTCATGACTAAGGAAAGACTTACCTCAGGCACCTGGTCCCCATAATGCTGAACCTAATAAATTTCTCTCACTGGCTGTTCAACAATTTAAAAACTACATGTCCATGAATAAATAATTTATTGAAATGAATTAACAAAAACAACAGACATGTTTGTGCTTTTTAGTGAAATTGTATTCTTTAACTTTACTTGAGTTGAATATGAAAATAGAGATTTGTAGTGCCGCACAATTCTTATGAAAAATGCCTGAACCTCTCGCATTCATGTGGGCTATGTGCCAGTTTGACAACTTCGTTGAGTCAATGGAGTTGTGGGGTTTTGATTGCCATCTATTGGATGGCCTTTCAAAAGGCCATGTGTCACACAGGTTTTAGACTTGGCCTAAATTTCGTGTATTTTCATTCATTGGTACAGTACCATCAGTACCGTATTTACACGATTGTAGGTTGACCCATTTTGTCTTGCCCCGCCGCGGTGGTCTAGTGGCTAAGGTACTCGGCTGCTGACCCGCAGGGCGCGGGTTCGAATCCCGGCTGCGGCGGCTGCATTTCTGATGGAGGCGGAAATGTTGTAGGCCCGTGTGCTCAGATTTGGGTGCACGTTAAAGAACCCCAGGTGGTCTAAATTTCCGGAACCCTTCACTGCGGCGTCTCTCATAATCATATAGTGGTTTTGGGACGTTAAACCCCACATATCAATCAATCAATCAATCAAACCCATTTTGTCTTAATTTGAAATTCGTAGTTGGGGGGGGGGGGGAAGTCGACCTTGAATTGAAAACGAGTTTCGGTTGTGAAGTCATTCTAAAAATAATCTCCACGTAGTTTTGCAAAGCTAGCTTTCCTGCACAGCTTACAAGTACTGCCGTGAAGCCACTTTCGCACATCGGTGGCTTCATGATGTGTCAAAAAGTTTAAAAAAAAGTTAAATGTGCTCGTGCTCCTCTCTTTTTTTATGCTATGCCATTTTTGGGGTTAGACCTGCATTCGAGTAGACTTACAATATGGTATTGCAGTGGTAGAATACCACAGTGCTAGAGTGCTTGGCTCAGCAGCTTATCTGCAAGTTGCATGTATGATCCCAGCTAGTGTTATTCTACTTTATCATTTTTACACGTCTTTTTGAGCATTGATTTGTCTGTGTAGAGAAACAAAATTCTTGTTTTGGCAAATAACACTGCGCACCTGCGGTCTCAGACGTCATGAGAATGCAGGGCCTTTCAGAGCATTCTCATGCACCCCTAGGTCGAAGTTTAAGCTAAGCCATCCTTCAGACATACTGGCCCAAACGTAAACGTTCGATTTGCCGTGGCCAATTTGAACTGACTCACGGCTTTTCATGACAAGTTCAGAAATTGTGAATCTCGTTGGCGTTGTCCACATATAGTTTGAGAGGCAGAAAACCACATTGAATAGTTTGTGACGTTCCTCGCATGGCATATGAACAGTAAAATGTAAGTGGAGTTCAAATGGCTACTATGCCTAAGTGTCTCATTGTCCGCTGCACTGCTGCTACACTGTGCACACCAGTGCTATGTCGGCTTTGTCAGTATAGAGGGTGCATGAAAATATAGGCGACTCTCAGTAAACAGAAATCTGTGAAAGAGAACTGCTGCTTAAATGGAACAACTGTCTGTGATGCGATTGGTTTCACTTGAATGCTCCAACCCAGCTCGCCTCTCATTGAACGGAACTCCTGTTAAGTGTAACACACTTTCCTGGTCCCTTCAGGTTCCATTAGATAAGAGTCTACAGTAGTGAATTGCTTCTATGTCTCTCTCGCACCCTTTGAAACTAACAGCTTGGTTCAGAGGTCGCCATTGGCACACTGCTGAAATGAATGGTAAGATGCAGCACATCGTGAACTGGTTCATATTGTGACCCTGGGTGCCTTATTTGAGCCGTCCCTCATTTGTGGAATTGCCCTCCTTTTAGGAAGGAAAAACTACCTTGCAAAAATATCTAAAAAAATTCGTTAATAGGGAATGTTGCCGAGACATTTTGACAACTGTCTCTTTAGCAGCATGTTTATGTACACCCTTCCCTCTAAATCATGACGACTGGGAGGCATTTGGCTAGACTACTGTTTTCTTACTTTCCTTTTGTTTCAAAGACACACCTCTCACTGTAACAAGCCTTGCTTCTTTCAAAAGTTGTCTATGTGCTAAGAAAACTAAGCTCTATGAGCAGCTGGCTTCTTCAGGTCTCACAACCTGGGTGCATAAACTCGCAGTCATTTTGTGCTCATTATGACGGGCCTGAGCCTTGTTAAATACTTGTT